AAAAAAACACAGAACATTTTCCTGATGCATCCCTCATCTGGGCCCTCCCTAGTTGTCATATAAATAAGAGTTTCCAGGATCCAGAAACTTCCTAGCTAGGTTTTGTCCCCAAAATTTTTACAAAGCTCAGTTTTCCACATCAGGATACAAAATGTTCTAAACCTAGTGAAGATGGGAGGCAAAGTGGACAGAGCACAGTTGGTCCCCTCTAATAGCTTCCATGGCCTTGCCAGAGAAAGAGGGATAATTGTTCCCACAGTGATCCTGGGAGGTAATCAGATGATGTATGGAAAAGCAGATGCACAATACCTAGACATTAAAACAGTATCATAGAAAAGGAATATGTACAAAATGCCATTTACCTCATTGCCTTGGTTTACATTACCTCTATTACATTCATTGTCATTGTCTTGACTGTATTATCTAAGCTTCTTTTCCTGTTTACAGGAGAATTTTTGATTCTGTAAGTTAAGGGCAGAGACCTCAGCCAATAGTGACTTTCAACATTACTGTTTGTGTTGGCATTCTTCATGAGTGCTAAGGATTCAGTAAGTCATGTAACACGAGTTGAGATTCAAGTTGTTAGTTTTATTTTTAATGGAAGCCTCATTATCCTGGGATGAGGGGATACTTACTGCAAGCTCCCCTCAGAGCAATGGGAGGGAGAGCCCACAGACAGCAGCCAGAATGATCATGTTTCCAAACCCAGGGGTGCAGGGCGAGGAGGGGAGTCCCAGGAGCTGCAGACAGAAGCTGCACCCCATTCACATCTGTGCTCAGTGCTGCTCTTCTCCCTAAACATCTTAAAGTGCCAGTTTTGCTGGGCATGTCACTCTGAGCAGATACCAAATGCAGCCCATTTTTTGAGTCAACACAAAACAATGCATGCTGCCAAGAGTAGCATTTCTGTTCCATGGATCCCAAAATGGCATCCACCTCCCCTTTACTCCGGCAGTCCTGAGGATACAAAAATGACTGGATTCTATCAAATCTTGTCTTCTTTCTATACTTGAATGAAATGTGGTAAAAGGGAATCTGTTGGATTTTGCTGTGCTCGATCACATCAATAGTTCTGAGACGAGAGGGCAGGGGTTCTGGTTATAAGCCTTAGACTTCAAGAAGCCACTCAGACACCAAGCCCTGAATGGAGGTATAAAGTGGGGATTCCCATGAAAGAAAGGCGTCAGGTTGGATAATTCACACACTATTCCCAAAGAGTAATGGTGGATCTTGCTGAAGAAGGAAGTCAGAAAAACAAAGGTTATGGCAATTTAGAAGAGCTGCTCACTCTCTCAGGTGGTTTTATCCCTGACTTTTGCTGGGATCATTTTTCCTTCAGTGTCTCACATTTTTACTGTACTAGAATTTTGTCATCATGGATACTGGTTAAGGCAAAAGACAGAGAAATCAACTCAGTGCTGGCCACTTTTCACTCTGAGAAGGAAATGCTAAACCAGCAGAGTAAATCCAGTGTGCTATATGTCACTTTGATGTGAGTCTCTGAAATGGTGAATTCCAAAAATTCTGCTCCTCTTCCTCACCAACTCAACTCACTCATTTCAGAAGTGGTCATGGTCACTGGAGGTCGTACACAGGCAGGGGCCACCAAATCAATGAGGGAACAACTAGAACAGTGACCCTATGACAACTGTTAGGCCCTCCTTGCCTCCCCCTGGCACCTCACCAGTCCTGAGCCCTCATCTCCTGTTTCTGGACTGTAGTGTCTCTCTCTGAAGGACTCTTGAGTTCTCATACTTGCCCCTCAGCTGACCACAGACATGCAACAAGAATTAATGCCATGAAACTGATGAAGCATTTGGAGCCTCTTGGAGAAAGAACCTAAGCAAATAACAAATAGTATTATTCTTTTTCTCCCAAGCCCTCCCAGCTTTATACGAAGATTTAAGGAAATATTGATTTTACTTCCCTAGCAAGAAAGAGATGTAATTAGAGCTCTGAGGTTTCCCCACAAGGCACTAGCGGGGAAATCTGCCAGCATTTTGATAAGATAAAACATGGAACTTTCTATTCCATGCCAATTGCTCCTTTCTCTGGGACACAAAGTCATCTTTATGAGTGTACCTAGAAAGAAACAGAGAAAAGCCATGAAAATCAAGGGAAACCAGGTCACCCTCTAGATTCTCCTGGGAAGCCTTGCAGACTCTGCAGCCCAGTCCCCTGAGCCAGCCGCACACCAGCTCCTAAGGGAGCCTAAGAAAGGAGTCCATGAAGAGACTGCAGGAGTGGAGAATAAATAAAAATCTAAACAATTCTTCAAATGTTTACTAGCAATCCTGGATGAACTACATGAGAAAGGACATTTTATTCAAATCCCATTTCAACAAATCTCATCACAAAAAAGTCTCCCCCTCAATGTCATCCAAACTTCCCAAATGACTTAACAAGGGCTCTACAACACTTTACTAATGGCATGCCATATGCCAGCCCACGCACCACACCCTACAGTGATCTATTTCAGGCGAGAGCCAATCTCAAACCTTATTTCAAGACAACCAAGCTTTTGACTGGTGGCTTGAAAGAGCAGCAGCTTTTCCACCTCTTTGCCTTCTCAAAAATACCCTTCCAGATGCTTCCTATGAACCCAGCAAGGCCCAACTAAATTCCCACCTGCCCCCTAGGGCTGTATCCTTCACCTAACCTACAGCAGAAGTAACTTTCCCCTCTTTGGAATGCCCTTTGTCTCTATTTTATGGGATGTGTTTTGTATAACTTTATTATGATTATTACGTACTGTGCTGTCTCCCCTTCTGGACCATCACCTGTGAGATAAAAATCTTGAGGAGGCGCCCAGTGTGTCTTTAAAAATGGCATGGTGTACTTCCTGTAGCCCATGGCCACTCAAGGCACACTTGTCCCGACAGCAGCTTGAGAACCATTTGGGAACTCAGGAATGGAGAGTCTCCATCCCCACCCGAGACAGACTCGTCAGAACATGCGCTGAACACACTACGCAAGTGACTCAGATGCGCATTAAAGTGCGAGAAACACTGCTATAAATAATGGATGCGCAATAGGTATTTTTTAATAACATAGGCTAACTACTACACAAAAATCTATCCCTCATCTATCCCATTCTGTAGGTGGCAGATGATCTGGGGAGTGATCTCATCTCCTTGCTCCCACTCTAGCTTGCCTTCATGACCTCCATGCATTTAGGCAGCAAGTCCTTTATTCATTCACTCCTGAAACTGAAGGGGTGCTTAGTTACCCCTTCAGTTAGAAACTGAAGGGCTGGTCACTCTGCACACATTTCACACATCTCAATGCACTGAACCAGGTTTGCAGGTTTGGGGAATTTAACTGGAATGAGCGTGGTATATTATTCAGTGTAAGGGGATCCTGGTGCTTGTCCCCTCCACGAACTCTTGGTGGGTCGGGAGGGACACAACCCATTGCCTGTCCCAGGATCCAGTTCTCCAGGACCTGACTCTCCAGTGGAACGAAGTCCTGCACCATGCTGAAGTCCCAACCTCAGCATGCACCCCAGTCATCAGGAAAGCTTGTGAGACACAGAACATTGGCTCCAAAGCTTCCGATTCAGTAGACACTGACATACAAACAGGGAACAAATGTACAGGCAGGAACTCTAGATAAAGCCACCTTTATTCTTTCTGACTCTCTGATAAGATTTATCCTATATAAGCTTGATCCCATGGGTGTTTCAGAGATATTTGGAGAAAAAATTTAAGAAGTGAGGCCTTCATTTAATGAAGCCCATTGAGAAAACCAAATCCAGAAAGTTTACCAGTTCCTGATCAGAAAAAAAGGACCTGGTTTTCCACCCGTGTCATAAGTTTTGTGTATTACAGCAAAAGCTATGTCAGTAAAGGTAAAGGGACCAAGACTCAGCCCATGGCAGAAAGCATGAACTGTGCTACAGTGGAGAGCTGTATGGTTAGCTTAAGTGGAGAGCTTGTCTTTTGCAGATGAAAACTCTGCAGGTGCATCCTAGCCCAGAGCTCTTTTGTTCTCTATCTGCAGCTGTGCTTGGGTGAAGGCGGACACTTTTCCTGGCCCCAGACTTGCCTTCTCTCATGTACCTCACCTTCCACCTAGCCTCATCATGACACTAAGACAGCCTATAGAAAGAGGAGTGGGAGTGTCTGGAAAGTTCCACCTCCATTCCCAAATTCCTCCCTCCCATCCACTCACCTATCACCTTCTAAACCCAACCTCAGTGGCAAATATAATGAGAACACTAGCCAGCACAGGCTCTAGTATTTCTTGGACTCCAACTGCAACTTCCTTTTGGACATCACTCACCCAATTCCTGTGGTGCCCCAGTCCCAGTGGTCTGTGACATGTTCATTGGGAATGCCAGAATATGGCTCAATTGGGAATGCCAAGCCCCAAGACTAGCCAGCTTCCAGAAGAATTCTATCCTCTATTTCCAGACCATTCCTTAGTATGCTAAACTTGGTTATCACCAGAGGAATATCCATCAAGTTCCTAAGTGTCTGGGGGCAGCTAGGAGTAATATTAAGCCCTCCCTCCAACATCCAACCAAAATGGGTGTGAAATTTTGCAACCAGCATCCAAATTCCTGAAGTCCTTCCCTTCACACAGTCTACCCTGTGTCCACTCAGTCAGTGTCAGCCCTCGTCTGCTTCTGGTGCGACTCCTATTTGGGTGCCTCATTTTCCCTGTATTTCCTGCCTCTGACCAGCTCCTGTCTACTGGTCTCATGTTGCTGCCTCTCCTTTCTAGTTTGGCCTGTCCACATGGTCTTTTGATGCCTTGGCCCCTTTGGCACAGCCTGGCATCTCTCAAACTCATCCCACTGCCTAACTCTGGTCGTAGATGGTATCAAGTCAAAAACCTCCACGAGAACTTGCTTTTACAGGCATTACAAGGTCAGATACTGTGTCTACCTACGTTTTCTATTCCTGCCACACTGCCTGGTATATAACAAGTGTTTAAAGAGTATCATTTGATGAATGAATACCTTGCAGATATATCACACCTTAGGCAGACAGACAATGAGTTAATACAACTTTTATTGTACAAGTATTTCTAGAAAATCAAGTCTTTCTTATAACCCAAAGATTCAATGCTCACAAAGGACTTTGAAATCCACAAAATAACAGTGCTGTAAAACAGTCAATTGTTCCTGAAAAAAGGAACAGATTACACAATTCATTCTGGGTGTAGCAGGCAGAAGTGAGCAAGGAGGAAGAGAAATGGGACATTATGGGGAAAAGAAGAAATAATCAATAAACAAAGCAAAAGTCACCCTTATCATAATCATCATCTTCAACTGATTTTTCTTGAAGTTTCTGAAGCTTTAATCTTAAGGATTTTACCTGTGTTGGTTTGAAGGGGAAGAAAAGGAAAACCAAATTACAATAGCACTCAAGCAAGCTCATTTTGTTAAAGCTAAGAACATTTAGAAACTATTTTGAAAACTGAACTTCTTTATTCTCCTTTTAAAAAAAGAACCACAAATTTATATTCTTTCAATGCCAGATGCATTTGTGTCTTTTAAAAAAATTATATCAAGAATGAGTGCAACTTGAGCATAAAATCCACAGAAAGTTATTTTAAACAAAAATATCACACTGTACCCTTATCTGCATGAAAAGTGCATAATAAAAAGAAATACAAATTTCCTAACCTGACCAAATGATTTTTAGTACATGTTCTGAAAATCACATTAAAATTTTGAAGGTAAACACACCAGAGTTGGAAGAGAAACCAAGAGAAAAACATGAACTTAAACTCAGCAGGCAGTCCTGATGACTGGATGAGAATGACAAGAAGAACTCTATGAAGTCCTAAGCTCATACTTTCCACTGTAGGAAAGGGCATTGTCATATTTAACCACATAGAGACTCAATGATCCCATCCTTTGTCTACATGCTCATTTGTCATTATTTTTCTTGTCAATTAGAGTCCCCAGTATTTTCTGAAGATAGAATCTTGGCCTTTTAATGGATAGAGTTAGGCTTGCTCCCTGGAAAATGCCTTCCGCCATCCTTTGCATGGCTTTATGCCTGCTTTTCCTCCAACACCCACCCCAGGAGTCACCCCCTTCAGTCTGTGTAAATGTCCTTCCTCTATGTTGTCATTGTGACCTGTACTTGTACCATTCACATCATCCATTGAACAGATATTCCGTGAGTGCCTCTCAGATGTCATGCACTGTTTGAGGTGTTAAGGATCCAGCACAAAAATAGCCCTTTGGACTTACATTCTTGTGTAGGAAGACAAAATACAAACATAATGAGTAAGTTTTATGGAGCCTTAGAAGTGATCAGTGCTATAAGAGAAGAAAAAAGTAAAACCAAGTAAGGGGGTTCAGGAATGCAGGTAGATGGTGGAGCTGTGATTTTAAATAAGGCTCACTGAGGTGGTGACATTGGAGCAAAGATTCCAGAGTGGTAACGGAGTGAAGTATGAGGCTCTCTGGAAGAAGGACATTCCCTCAGAGAGAAGAGCCAATGCAAAGGCTCTGAACAGAAGCATATCTGGCATTGCCAGGGAAAAGCAAGAAGTCCAGGGCTGCAGTGGATTGATTAAGGGGCAGATTGCAGATGAGGTCAGATCAATGAGGGATGAATTGTGAAGAGACATGAAGACCATTTAAAAGGTCTGATTTTACTCTGAGGGTCATGGGGAGCTAATGGAGGGTTTTGAGCAAAAGAGTACATGATCTGGGAGGCACAGCCAAGATGGTGGCGTAAGTAGAGCAGCGGAAATCTCCTCTCAAAACCACATATATTTTTTAAAATACAACAAAGACAATTCTTCCTAAAAGAGAGACCAGAAGACATAGGAAAACAGCCAGACTACATCCACACCTGCGAGAACCCAGCGCCTCGTGAAGGGGGTAAGATACAAGCCATGGCCCTGCAGGACCCGAGCGCCCCTCACCCCAGCTCCGGGCGAGAGGAGAGGAGTTGGAGTGGGGAGGGAGAGGGAGCCCAGAACTGCTAAAAATCCAGCCCTAGCCATCCGCACTGGAGCGCAGACACAGTGCATGCGTGGGGTGCTGAAAACTAGGGAAATAGGATGGCAAGACCTGTGAGTGGGTCCCTGCAGCCGATGCCAT